GTGAGGGTGTATGACCTGGGGCTGGGAGCTGGAGCTGGACAGGGTGGTCTCCCCAGAAGAGAGGGACAGGGACACTGACCCTGCTGGGTCCCAGGTGAGTGGGTTTTGTGTGCCCAGGGCAATTTGTCCCCCAGCTCCAACCAACATTCACTTCTCTCCATCCCCCCCAGGGCCCCAAGGGTGATGTTGGTGTCTCTGGAGAACAAGGAGTCCCAGGCCCTCCGGTAACACAACTCTCTGTGCTGCTCTGCCCTTGTCCCCAGGGACTGGGGAGGTGACACCAGTGTGTCTCTGCTCCTGGGTGCTCAGCTCTGGGACTGGGGTGAAGCTTCATCCCATCCCTCTCCCTCCTCCAGCCGTGGTTGCCACCACTTTTCCCAAGGGAGAGCTCCACAGGCACTTTGGTTGTTAATGTGGCTAACTCCTGGACAAATTGTTGACCCCCCTCACCCCACCTGCTCACTGCAGGGCTGGGGGGATTAAAGCTGCTGGAGCTCCCTGAGCACTTTGAAGATGAAAAGCAATTAAAGGCCTGAGCTCTCCAGTCCAGGAAAGGGCAAAACTGCTTTGAAGCCAAGAGCTTTGGCAGGGGAAGTGGCACCAGTTTGGGCCTGTTTGGGTTATGGACTTGACAGCTGGAAAAGCACCTGGTGTGAGGCTGCAGAATTAGGAGGGTCTGACATACCTCGTGTTTGGCTACACTGCCTCAGTGCCAGGATGAGTTTTGCTGTAATTGCTTCCCCCCTGAGCTGCTCCTGGGGCTTTTCCCAGCTAAGCTGGCTGTTGTTTCCTTCCCTGCAGGGACCACAGGGCCTGAGGGGGTACCCAGGGATGGCAGGACCCAAGGGAGAGACAGTAAGTGCTGGTGGGATGCTTTGGGATCAGGGGCACCACATCCCATGGCGAAGCTTCCCAGGCTGGAGGCTGATTCCCAGGAGCATCCCTGCCCTGCTGGACCATCTCAGGGAGCTGGATGCTGCCTCTTGCTGGTGGGGCTGGAGGCTGTGGTGTGAGGAATTGACTCCCTGTGCTTTCTTTGCAGGGTCCTGCTGGCTACAAGGGCATGGTGGGCACCATCGGAGCAGCTGGGCGACCTGTGAGTGCTCTCCCTCACCCCTGGGGGCTGTGGGACCCCTCACTTCACTGCTCAGCCCTTATCTTTGTCCCCTCCAGGGCAGGGAAGGCCCCAAGGGACCACCTGGGGATCCTGGTGAGAAGGGAGATCTGGTAGGTAACTCAGCCCAGTGCTCCCTTCGTCCCAGTTTGGTACCATCCTCAGCACAGAGAGTGGCTCAGTGGGCACCTCTTCCCTCTGCCAGCTCCATCCCCTGGAGAAATAACCCTTGCTCTCACCTTTAGGGTGGCCGTGGCATCAGAGGACCTCAGGGAGATATTGGCCCCAAGGGGGAGAATGTAAGTACCTCTGGTGCCACCTGTGCCCCTTGCAAGGAACACTTCCCTCTGTCCCTCTCTGTCCTGTCTGGGGATTTGTTTTGTCCTTGCAGCCTGGAGTGTTCCTTTCCCTCCCCACCTTGTTTTGCCCCCACCATGAGCCTTTCAGTCCCTCTCAGAGGTGCCAGACCCAGTGACCCTTCTCCTTTCACAGGGTCTCCCTGGCATCGATGGCAAGGATGGCACCTCAGGTATCCCAGGTGTGAAGGTGAGCTGCTGCAGGTGCTGGCCCAGGGGATGGACACACACTGTTCCTTGGGCCAGTATTTGTTGGGAATAACAGGGATGACAAGTGGAATAAGCTCCCAACCCTTGACGTGGCATCTCCTGCCTTGTGGAGTGTGGCCAACCCCATGGGGTGAAGAGCAGTGTCCCCTCTGGGCAGGAGTGTCTTGTCCCACCTGTGGACACCTCACTCCTGTGCCTTTCTCTCCCACATGGTGACATCCTCTGTGTCCCTCCCAGGGCAGTGTGGGCCAGGCTGGACAGCCAGGAATTCCAGGACACCGAGGACAAGCTGTGAGTGTGTGGGAGCTCCTCACCTGGGCAGGCACCTCATTACCTGTGGGTGCCACCCCATCCTGGGTGGTGCCAGGTATAGAGCACCAGGGTTTGATCCTGGCTTTGTTTCCACAGGGCTTGCCAGGCCAGCCAGGGAGCAAAGGTGGCCCAGGAGACAAGGTGGGTAAATCCTCTCTGAGCATCCACCCCATGGTCCCACAACTTCTGTGCCATCAGCACTGTCCCTGTGCCATCCCCTCCTGTCCTCACTGCCCCTGAACCTCCTCTGCCTCCTGTTCACAGGGGGAATCAGGTGCTCGAGGCCAACCTGGAGTCACTGGTGCTCCAGGGCAGCTTGTAAGTATTGGAGATGTCACCATGTTCCTCTCAGGGACAGCCTGAGGGTTGTTCTCTCTGTCTCTCTCTCACTTTTTTTTTTTCCCTGATTGCTCTCAAACCACAAGAAGAATTGGGCACTTTATCCCTCTCTTCCCTCTGCCCCATGGGAAGTCCCTGAGGTCACTTCTCCAGCTTTATGTCCAGCATCTCCTTAGCCACCCAGTGCAGTGGCTGCAGGGGACAAGGATGGATCTACACATCCCTCAGGATGAAGGGCAGGGGATGTCTGGGAATGCAGGAGAAACACTGCCCTGGGTTTGTCTTTCCCTCTTTAGGGTGAGCCTGGACCTCGGGGTGAGCAGGGACCACAGGGTGTCCCTGGCTTGAAGGTGAGTTGGGGACACCATGGGGGATGTGGCAGTGCCAGGAGCTGCTCCTGACTCTGTTTTTTTCCACAGGGTGACAGGGGAGAGCGTGGCCTCGTGGGTCCCCCTGGGGAGCAGGGGAGAGTGGTGAGTTGTGGCCCGAGCTGGGCCAGGGCACAGGGGATGCTCAGCCCTGGGGTTTGGGGGCTCTGCCAGGGCAGGGATGGAAATGCTCAGTCCTGGGGTTTGGGGGCTGTGAGGTGACAGGGATGGGGATGCTCAGCCCCGGGTTTTTGGGGCTCTAACATGGCAGGGATGAGGATGCTCATCCCAGGAATGTTTGGGTTCTAACATGACAGGGATGGGGATGCTCATCCCAGGAAT